AACAGGAAGGTGCTAACAAGACCTTGGGTGCAAGTCATTCCAAGCAAAAAATGCCTCAGTTACTACAACAACCACCACCTACACTTCCCATTATTACCTATCCTCCAAGTCAATAAAGATCATTTACTACTCTGTGCTTGAGGATGGTTCTCTCAAACTTGCTGCAGTTCAGATCCCTCTTCATGCACAGCTTCTGCAAGCGCAGTCTGGCAGTCTGTCACTTGCGGAACTGGAGAGAACAATGCTTTAACACTTGCAAACCTTTGTCATGCAAAATTCACAACACATTAACCCATGCAAAAGTGACATTTCAGCTGCTTCACCACATATTTTGTGAATAGTTGATGGTGAAGTAAGAAACTAGAAAGCTTAGACTTCACCCTACCAAGTGCTGAGCACTCTGGCTGCAGTACAAGAAAGCACTAATAAAGAAATCTTGTTTTAAGGTGGGGATAGAGACAAAAGTCATAGTTATTTCTCCCATTCTGAAAGAAAAGCTCACGTTTAAGTGCTGGGCATGACAGGAACAGCAGGACTCACTACCATTCACAGACTAAAAGGGATTGCAGTATTTCTCAAAAACTTAGTCATATTCAGAAACGCATCACCATTTGTAACCTCACCTGTAGTCAATGCTTCCTTCATCTTGATAGCACAGAAAGGCTGTAATTGTTCCCCTTGATTCTGCACAGGTCCCAGCTCAAATGAGTTGAAAGATATCCGTAAGAAGGGGGCCATTGCTTACAATGATCCACAGCCTAAGTGGAAAGAAGTAAATAAAAATCATAGAATAAAAGACCTGGTCTGAGACTTGTAAGAAAGCGATACACATTTCTCAGCAGCCATCATAGCTGATACAAACCATCCTCTAAAGTTTGCAAGTCTTGAATGTGTCTTTGAGACCACGAGCCTGAAGTAAAACTGGCATGTACTGAAACAAAAAAATGTAACACGTACAATCAAAGACTGAATTTAATACACCCTTTTAACCATATCCTGTTAAAAGTAAGTAGCAGTTATGCCTTTGACTTAGACCTTGCTCAATTTTTAAACACAGAGGCTCTGTTCATTAATCTGCAAGTATATAAACATTCTTATCAAATAAGTAGTTCACAAACTGAGACACAGATTGTTTGGTGTTTTTTATACATTTTTTTCCCCTCACACCTGAAATGAAGGGGGGGAGGGGAGGGGGGGGCAGAGAGAAGAAGAGTTTTGTCTGTTCCATGTGTTCCTTTCCCAGTATCTCTTACAAGGCAAGGAGGGAGAACTAGGAGCAAAATTAATCATCTAAAGCTCTCACTATTTTGTTGCTCTTTAGGTACACATTATTTTATTTTTTAATTGCTACACAGCCTCAAAAATTCCCAGACAGAATTCTAGGCACCTCAATAGGCAATCAAATGATAAAAGGAACACCTTTGGTTAATTTTATTTTTAAGGATTATCTGAGAAACTACTAAACCTACATACAATTTCTGGACACTGCAGCAAAAACCGCTACCAGATCCACAGTAAGGGTAACACATCGTTAAGCATGATCAAGTAATTGCACTGCATATGAGCACTGATCAACATTAATAACCTGAGTAATTGGTCCATACACATGAGCTCACACTTACTTTCTCACTTAGATAAATGCATAGTTACAGAAATTTCTGAAATCTAGATATTTCACTGGATAAGTGCACATCTTATTTTTCATACTTAATGTGGAAAACAACATACGTTCCAAATACCACCACCGAACTGAAACAAGTATATTATCACATGACTTCTATTCAAGCGTTGCTTTCAGGTGGCAGTGTACGAATCCTAGGAAGCATCACAGAGCTAATGATTCAAACTGTGAGCCTCTATACCTTTACTTATCAGGCAAAGGGAAGAGGGAGAGGTAGAAAGAACTCCAGCGCTACTGTGTCACCTGGTTTAAACTGTCAGGAATTACAAGAATCCAAACCACCTGTAATTTCTAAGTCAGCAAACTGGTGTTTCACTACAGTCTTCCCTCATTCTCAAGAGCTCCTGAACTTAGAGCAGATTTCAGTTTACAGTTCGCAGCACCTTCAGCAATGGAGTTAGCCCTGTAGCTTGTATGTCAATATTGCTTTGTGAAGCAAAAATCACTTATTCAAAGGGTAAGAGAAAACAATCATTTGATAGCAAGGGAATGCTAGTACGATCAGAGAATGAGGGATGCCGAGAACAAGGGATTAGGAGAAAAGAGTTAAGGTAACAGGAAGAGATGATGAAGAAAAAAAAAATTGAAAGTGGGCTGAGCTGGCCTTTTGACTGTAGATTGTTAACCAGTTCAGTCAAGCAGCACTAGGAAGAACATTTCAAGCAATCCTGCACATGCTTGCATTTTTTTAATGTAAAGACATTGACCTAAGAAGCAATTAACATTCCTCTTATATCTCTTAAGGCCCAGAACAGTCATTTAGATAAAAGTCTGTGACATGAGAGTCTTTGCAGCAGGACAGCATATAGCTTCTGACACCATTATTTGCACATCACGCAATCTCCCCATGCAGAGACCCTTCTCAATAAATGGAAAAAATTTATAACACTAACATTTATTGAGCTAGTTTTTATTAACTGACTGTTTCCCTACTTTCTTTTCTGTAGAGTAAGACAAAGTTAGAAAGCAGGTTTAGGATTACTTGGCACCATTGCTTATCCCACTGAAGAATGGAAAGCCACGACTATAATTCACATTCATGCAGACACGTCATCTAGACTCGCAATAAAATAACAAACCTTCCCCACTAATCCACTAGTTATTGCAGCTTGGAGCACCATTTGATGAGACTGGAGATTGAGATGACCTCACAAAGAAAGAAAAATAGACAGCTTTCGTAAAAATTAACAAATACCATCCAATACCTCACTTTCACAAATGCAACATAAACACAATGCTCATCAAGAGTTTTAATGAGGAACACATTTTAGCTGCTCAAGAGACCTTGTGCTCACTATGTTTGGAACTACCCTCAAGTGACTAGCTACATGACTTGCCAACACCAGATCACATATAGTTACTACTCAATATGGATGTAAAAGAAACCAGATTTCATTATCATTCACCTCTGGGGAAACAGCTTTAAGACTCAATTAGGCCATAGGCAGAAATGAGCTGGGTAGGTCAGCATGTAGCTCCCACTGGAAAGTTCATTTGACAGAATCACAGGATTGCAGGATAATTCTGGCTGGAAGGGACAGCCCAACTAGAAGTCACAATTTCCACTAAGTCTGGGACTACGCTAACAAAAAATTGGAAAGCACTGACAAAGCTAAACTAACAATTGCATGATTTCAACTCAGACCATCTGACTGAAGCCAATGTTAGTCCTGAAACAGAATACAAGGGTTTTGACATTTACTTCTTTAACTCCAAATTTGACAGATACAACAGAAACAGGTACGATGCATATGAATTTTGAATAATCCTACAATCTTCCTCATTTCTGATGGCCAAATCATTTGAAGGCCACATTTTCAGCTCTGCTTCTTGGTTTTGAATATGGTTATTTGTTTTAGTTTCATTGTACTTGGCTTTAGTGCAATCTCAAACGCTTACTCAGAAATGCTACACACAAGCAATTCAGCAGTTAGGAGAAAACACCAATATCCCAGAATTTCTGAAGATGTTCAAATGCGCTCAGTGCAAGGTCACTGTGAAACTAGAAGATACTTTTTGCTTTTCCATTTAACAACAACTGTTCCTGCCAAGTTTCTCTACCCTTATACATTATGCTTTTTTCACAAAAGTAGATATTTTAAGTGGCTTCAGGCAAAATCTCACTATACGTGATAGGCTATACTGTGACGCAGGGAGGTTAAGTGAGAAAGGAGGGTTTGGATTTGGTTCTCAGGTACATTTTCCAATCCTTGTCTATGCTAAGGTTGCAGTCAGATAGTTGATAAGTATCAGCCGTACTGCTGTAAACAAAAACATACCCCACTAAAACTGGTTTTGGCAGAGAAACTCAGTGAGATTCATTTGAATTCAACAAAGTTTCTCAAAATCCCTGCTGAATACACTCATCCAAAGTTTTGCCACATTTGAAAAGCAAAGACATAGAAAGCAATACATATGTTTTGCTTGTCGCATTTTAGATAAGAGTCCCTCTCTAGTCTCCATGACTATTTCAGAAGTGACAGAACAAGTGTTGACTCTAGTTTTAAGAGCTGCATTTGTCAAGAACTGAAACTGCTAGAAAACACCAGCTCTGAACTGAGGGAGATTTTACAATCTACTCATACAATCTGTATTGCTGCTATGAAGTATTAAAGCCAAACTGTTTTCCCTAAAGGGTGTGATTTTATCCAAACCAAATGGTGGAAAAACTGAGATGCAAACTCCAAAAATACTGCAAGTCTAAATTATAGGTTCAATATCTCAAACAGTTTCAAAGTCATGTGCAATCTGGAAAAAAGCTAAGGGAAAAATCTTCTAGTAACATTATTCTATATGAAGTACATGGTGATGGGCACACTGATTCAGAGTACACCACTGGATGCTGTCTAGCACAACATTCGTTTTGTCAAGGAACCCTGATCTGCTCTGTTTTAAGCTAAAACCACGTTCTGCACTATCTGGGATAGATTCTGCAAAATCCACAGTAATTTCCATGAAGCTTTACAATTGAGAGCTTTTGACTATTTAATATGAAAACAAAATCAACCATCTTACTATCAACTATAATATGCATGGAGCGAGAGGGGAAAAAAATTAAAACATCTTCACATCATCAATGTCAACATCTGCTGGATGAGCAAATATTCAGTTTCCACATGGATGTGTTTATAAAATGCAGTTTTAAAGAAAACTTCAAAACAAATTAAAATCTTAAATATTCCAAGGAGAATTTTCACAATATTTGCTAGCACAAAATTCACGTTAGATTAAAAGTCTTCTGCACACAGACACAAGGGACAAAGGGTAAATTCTGTAGTTTCTCCCCTTCCAACAGTGCACAGCAGCTATCAGGGACTCACGCTGCAACTGAAGGCGTTACTTGTCAGGGTTCTCTGTGCTGTAATTCTGCCTTTTTATAAACAGTGAGGGCAAGCCACCTCTAACACAATCCAGAAACAAAGATGCCGTTGTGACTTTTACACAAAGCGGGAAGTAACATCAAAGCAGTAGATCATCTGGAGGAAATGCTGACACAGATCAACAGAGCACTGAAGAGACTGAAAAACTAAAGGGCCCAAACAGAGCACAGACTGTTCCATCACTGATATGGGACTATATATCCAAGAGATATACAAATGAGAAAACTCCCCTGCTGATTTGAGCCTCTGATTTCCTTGTAGTAGTCTGTAAAACATTTTGCAAACGGATGTAAAGCTGCACACACAGGTCATGGCTTTTCCGTGCTGTCTCACAGAAATGCTGTGGAAGGCATGAAATGACTGCTTGCTGCTTAGCTCCTTGCTGAGGCTGCTTCCAAGGCTACACAAATGCTTTGAGGAACACCAACACTGGTAGCCAGCACCACGCGTAGCTGACCAGTTGGTGTTCTTCCCTGAAAAGATGCAGCAGTAACTTTTTTCTTTTTTAAGATGCAAAAACATAGATTATTTCCAACTTGCAGGTATCTTTTTTTACACAAGGGTTTCCTGTCCTCCATTCTGGCAATGGACAAGGCGTTCAAGAAAGACAGCAATGAACTGTTGCCCAACTTATCGCCCCCACATCACTTTCAAAAACATGAACAAGGACCTCCTTC